TGGGCTTGGGAGTTTGTGGTCGAAACTAATACTGTGTGAATAAACAACAGAACGGATGCAAATTGGTAAGACGTACTATCAGATCGGAACAGGTCGGGTCTGGTCGGGTCGGGTAATAGGGCTGGCTAGCGCACGCTATATCGAGTGGCCTCTGCTTTGCTTCATCAGATTTGGACGAGAAGTCCGTGACGACCTTGAGCATTCTGCTAATTCTGTTCGCTAACAAAAGATCTGACGTAAGCGCCTTTTGATTGGTTGTTTTTAATCAAATCGTGACTTTAAAAATCGAGTACGTTTGCGAGTGGTTGGCGAGTGCTTTAATGGTGTGGTCTTCTCCTTCTTTCCTATCAAACATCTCTTGCCCTTATCTCTCCTCCTTCTTTTTTGCGTTTGTTACTCTCTTGTAACACCTTTAATCTTTGGAACTTATAATTTTATTCCCCAACTGTGTTGCAAGTGCCGTAAAACGCTCACTAAAACAAACGAACAAAAAAACAAACAAGCAAAAAAAATTTAAAAAATCGAACGTGTTTCATTTTGGAGGATTTAACCAAAGTGGTATTAAAATTGTAGCTTTTGCTTCTCCACTCCATGTAGGAAAGATCGGTCCTTTCTCTCATCAAAGTATATCAAATGGGGATGTGATGACAATTTCTCCAATGTGCACTGGGTTCAATGGGGTCCCCGTTTTCCGCGTGTATAGCTCCTTCTCGCAGCGGGGCTAGGCTTTGGTACAAAAAACCACCTCAGTGATGAGAATTCTTTACATCACCCCATCCGCTTTTCCAGACGGGAGCTGCACGTGGAAAAAAGTAATCCAGGAAAAGCAAAAACAAAACATCAATCCAATTTCGTATCGTTTGAAGGGAAAGCTGCGAAATATTTCCCCCTGGAAAAGTTTTAGTCTGAAGCCTCCTTTCGGCACTTACTTAACGTCTGTTTTCATAGGACAACATTTAGTATTCAGCTGACTTGTATTGTATGAATTTCTACACCACACAGGTACACACATACATACACCCATTTTTAAGATATATGGTCGCTTTTAAGAACAAACGAGCTAACCCAGATTTCGGGGATTTTCCAAAATCTTGACCTACACCAAAAGTGGGCATTGCCCTACCTATAGGAGACGTTTGGTTTCATTAGTGTGTACATATTTTTTTTTGGTTATAGAGAAAACTCTCCTAGTTTTTTTTTTAGAAACCGAACAAGGGGCAAACACTTTAACCTCGATTTTCTCAAAATAGCATTTTTCGGGATAGCCCCCTTGTGCTTAAAAGCGACCATATATTTAACCTGTCTTTTGCGAATGATGTCTTCGATACCCGCATTTGGTCTCACAAGAGTGGAGACCCTGGATGTGCATAATAGGTCAAGTAAGTTCCGAATAGAGGGCTTAAATCAGTGTACTTACCTTCTCTTCTCTACTTCTGTGTCTCTTTACGCATACCTGGCGATTGGAGAGCGTCCTTAATAGGTTTTACTTCTTTACTGTTCCACTGTTGTTTCTTCATTATCGTCTTTCTTTTGTTTCTTTCTGCCTGCCTTATTTTTTCACGGCATAAATAAACTGGCCATTATCACGCAGATGGGCTTCCCTTTTTTTTAAATACTAAAAGCTAAAAAAGTCTACGCAGAGCATGCGAGGAGGTAAGTTTTCATATATGTCTGTCTGTCTGTCTGTCTGTCTGTTTGTCTGTCTGG